AAAACATAAATTACATTGAAATGTAAGTTGGCTCTGCCCATACCAAACAAACATTCTTCATCTTGAAGTTATGGTAGAACAAAAAATTAGTGAGATATGGGTATGAGAAACCTGTACAATGGGTACTCTACAAATGAACCTCCAATGCTACTTTACATGTATCTTGTATCTGTCATGCTTCAGAAACCACAATAGTCTCTGGAGCTCATATGCATACAGAATTTTGGCCTTTAACAATAAACTTTATTTGAGTGTCAGAGTATTTAGCTAAAGATAACTAATTGGGGACACTAACATAAATACTAATATAAAATATAAAATACTAATATTATATAAAATATATAGGTAGTTAATAATTTAAAATATGTTTTATTGGTCTAATTAGATAAAAAATAAAACAATCTACATACATGTAAACAGGGAAAGGGTCATCCATTAAGGTGACCAAACACAGTTTTCGCGCGCGCTTTTGCTGATGCAATTGAGCGTGTGTACAAGGATTGCAAAAAACAAACATGCCATCAATAGAGCGATCATTTTATTTACTCAACGCCTTCACTTTCTGTGCTATTTTCCTCAATAATTGGACGCAGTGTATTGATGGCTTTAGTCTTTTATTACAAATATATGTTAGGAAACGTAATGATGCAAAGAACCCAGCAATTCTAAGCTTTTTCTTTGTTACCGAAAGAACCCAGTTAAATGCAGCGCATGCGTAGTAAGTCAAAAAGTTCCGATTGAATGAAAATTTGCACTCTCGAAAATACGCCTATTTCTTGAGAACCACTCATTAGAATTTCACGAAATTTGGCACGAAAAAATACTTTAGGAAATAAGTAACTGGAGTATTGAAAAAAAAAATTGATCTTTAACAAAGGAAATTCTAGATATTCCAGTGAACCTTCAAAAAGGGATAATTAAAGATCTCTCTGTTAAATTATTATTAAAATAGTGTTAACTTGTGAGCATTGTAACAAGCTTGTTGCATGCAAATTATAAAGAAAATCTAATGACGAGATTTACTGCAAATAAACAAAACCGATTTTAAAGGCCTTTTTCTATTTATTTATGTTGCCATGACAACGGCACATACATCAGCTTAACTATCAAAAAACCGAAGTTTGTGTTGTTGACTTGCTTGCTGCCATTTTTGGCGACCAAAGGATCAAGAGTTTTAGAGAAAAAGGTGAATGAAACACAGGTATCAAAAACTGTGTTCAGCCACCTTAATTTAGTGGGTAGGCGTTAAGGCTCAATTCTTTGTTCATGACTGCTTTCTGTGGTAGGAAAATGCTGTCCATTTCTGAAACAATTGATGACATGGAAGCATACTCACAGTTGTCAGATGCGATATATTATCAAATCCTGCACTCGACCGACCCTGCCCTGGAAGAGGTGAGTAACCATGGTAACCAGCGACTCAGAGCAGTGTTAATTAGCAAGTGTTATCAGTCATTTCAATAGGAGCAGTAACTATTGGATAGACTTCAGGGGGTTGGGCTTGGCTAACAGCCTCATCTTATAAAAAGAGAACTTGTTGTAGAAACTGCAAAAAAAAAGCTGCCCTAGTGTGCCAACAACAACAACAACAGCTTTATTTGCATGACCATAGAAATGTCTCTCCAAATTGAAGTGTCTCCGAGCACGTAATTGTTCTCCTGACAGCGATAAGGTTACACCCAGACTAGGAAGTGAGTAAGTAACCCTGTGATGGACTAGCATCCTATGCAAGGGAGGTGAGGGGAGTATAAATAGTCCAAGCCACTTAATACTACAGAAACCAGGGTATGGAACACTTTGCCCCACGTAGATTTTGTCTCCATTCTCATTTTATTCCTTGCAGGATTGCCCCCAAAGAGAATTAGTATTTAAGTCTGAAACGGAAAAGATAAACAATGCTGACTTGCTTTGCCTCAAGTTAGACTAATGATTGCTAGTCTCCTTTTCAAGGCACGTAACATTTTATTGCGGATAGAAAAGCGAGACCTGTACAAATGCATTGGATCAACAATACTAAAGAAACCACGTGAAAAGGTAAAGAAATGATGACATACTCGCATGCAATCCAGTAATGACAAGTTGAGGCAAACCCTTGGATAGGGGGTTTTCTTTAGTAAAATAGCGTTTAGAACTTTCTATTTCAAATTTTCGACTATTGGGGATCATTTGCCAAATAAGCCGCAATGAGCAGGAACTAAAAAATAATTTAAAGTTTTCTTTGTTGCCACGTATCACTCATCAGTTGGAGTCTAAATCAATTTAAATTATTGGTGCCGTTTGGAGTGTAAGAATATACTTGAGATACACACCCTAGCCTGCGAGCAGGTTCACCTTTGAATCACACCCGCGAGCGGCCAAGAGCAAAGCGATTCGGCAGGAAGGCGTCTGATGAAGAGGCGCCAGAAAGCGTCTCGCGGCCTCGCCTCTCGATTTCGCGCTCGCGGCTACGCCACGCCCGCTTGTGCTCCAACGTGAGCCTGCTCGCAGGTTATACACACCCATGAATGGACTGCTTCAGGTTTCTTTGGGGGTTTTCAGAATTTCCAATGAATAAGCTTTTCACTTTTCTATGACATTCCCACTATCCCTCCCCTCACAGGATACGGTCATAAGGTACAGTATTTGAATGGGACTCCTGATTTCACATAAAATTAATATTCACAGCCTGGGAACTTCTCGACAAATTATTTTCCTGATCAACCATGAAGGATATAAAGATCAAAACAGAGGCTGGCGTAAATTCTTCTTCCTACATCAATCAGGAAACACAATTTAACCTGACGCATTAACACTTCAACAGGAGGAGATTCCCGACATACAACTGGAAATAGCTGGCAGCATTGATGAGGGACCTTTCGTCGAGCCTGAAGATTTTGTTATTGACGTAAGTAGTGTCCTGTTACTAGAAACCCTTTGTACCACTAGTGAGTTGAGATGATGTTACGGGAGCCGATTTTTAACGCCGATTTTTAATCCATGTTACATGAGACAACTTTTGACCAGCCTCCCCCTTTCCTCTCCTTTCAGTTGCCATGCGAAGAGCCTGCTCGCAGGCTAACTGTTAACGCAACTTTGTTGCGGCAACGGTATGTTACACGAGATGATTTTAAACGCAACACGCAAAATTCGGAAAATTCGGACAACAATGTTGCAAGTTTTTGAATCGCTTTCAAAAACCTGCAACGTGTTGCCGCAACGAAATGTTGCGTTAAAAGTCAGCATTAAAAATCGGCTCGTGTAACATTACCTTTAAACCTCCTATTACTAAATTGTAATTTCTTCAAAGGGTGAAAATAAGGAAACAAAAGAGAAATACATGTATATTCTTCGTTCTTTTTTCCACTGCAGGAGTGCGGGACTGCGGGAGCACTAGATCTACACCCATTTAATATTCATTTTTTTTCTACTGCAGGACTGCGGGAGCACTAGTTCTAGACCCATTGAACATTTTTTTTATATACTTTAAAGATTAATGTCATTACTGCAGGACTACGGGAGTAGGAGGTTAATGTCGCGCAATCGTGGCCGGGGATTCTGAAGTTGCTCCAAGATCTTAGAACTCCAATCTTACCCCCATCTCTACCTCTGACTTTTCCTTTTCCCCTTCCCTCTCTAAAATACAAGCAGGGTTGTATTGCCCCCCCTCCCCTTATAGACTGATAATCCTGTTTTGATTTTGGGTTGCCTTTTTTGTACGTGTAATTTTTTGTGTAAAGGCTCTGGCCTTTCCGTTGCCCCCCCCCCTTTCCGAAATACAAGCTGGGTTCAATTGCCCCTCCTCCCTCTCCCCGCCCCCCCTTGTTTACTGAAAGCCCTGAAAATGTCATTCCTTGATTTCTGCCTTTTTGTACCTAATAATTTTTGTTTCTCAGATTATCACGTTTGACTATGGAATGCGTGATAGAAATCCAATTGATGCGGTGCGGTTTTACCAAAAGAACAATCCAAACAAACCTATAATTCTCCGAAAGGATGAGGTATGTATGTTTTTTTAGGTTGACTTTGTATATTTATCGATGAGGTAGATGTGAAACAACTATTTGAAGGTACTACTCAATAGCTTTCGTTTGATTGATTGCATATTGATTGCTTCGGTGGTATATCAGGCGAGTTTGGTCGAGCCATGGTTCGTATTTTGGCGAGACATAGTTGGGCAAAATATCCATGGCAAGACCAAACGAGCCTGATAAAGGCTGATATGGGTACGATCAGGTCTTTACCGTACCTAAATTCGGCCAAGTGACCTTGTTATGGTAGCCATATCAGGTCAGTGATTTGAAATAACAACATATCAGGGGTCTGTTTCTCGAAGGTCCCGAAAAGTTTTCGCACCCGGAAAGCCGTAGCAAAATCTCAAACCAAGCCTTTCGAGAAATGGGCCACAGGACAGTAGAGACGGCTTCTAATAAGCTAATTGTGAATCTGGGTATGGTAGTAAAAATAAGAACCACAATAAAGGAGCGTAATTAATTAATAAGCAGCAAACAAACCAGTGTTATGTGAACGTTCGGCTTATAAACAGTACTAACTCTTTGCACACGAAGGCTTGACCCATCGCATAGTTAATAGTAAAACACGTGTTGTATGTCGTAGTAAGCGGTACCGCTTGAACGTACTGCTGAATAGCGTGAAGTTGAAGAGTCCCACTTGCAGTCCAAGGTCTAGGGGACGCGAGTCTAGCCCCGTCCTCCCACCCTCCTTATGGAGAGAAAATTTCCCCCTACCTCTTTGTTACGGTAAGAGCATCTCCACCTCACTTTCCGCCCATGATTGGGGTGCGCTTGTCGATCCACCTTGTGACTTGCGTGAGGATTTCTACCACTAAGTTAAAAGTAAGAACTATTTAAAGTATCGCTGAAGGTTGGGTAATGAATCAGGTTTATCGTGATATCCATTGCTAAGTCACTGTTATCCATTCGACCCACTTTAGGTGAGCAACATGCTACCAGAGAATTTTGTAGAGCAGCACCTTCGCGTTTACTTTCGCAAGAATGACCCTGAAAGTCTGAAGAAAGCTAAAGGGTTAGTGAATGCTTTGTTACTGCAAACCTGTCAAGTATTTCAGACCTGTCAAGTAAGCTATCGCGTGCCCTGCTAGTGGGAGTCGTCACGCAATGCTAGCGTTCCTTGAACATTCTGATGCTCTGATAACGGCCAATCTCGTTCCCAGAGGCCGTGATCCTTTTGGTCAGCGCAAAGAAATCGAGACCTGGGAAAAAATCGGAAGGTGGGCGAGCATTAGTTACAGCGGCTACTCTCGCTACGCATGTTCAGAAACCATTATTAAAACTTGATCGCATGCGCGCAATCAAACCGGAATCAGGATTTTCTGGTTCCGGCTTTTGATTTCATCAAGAGCATTGCGCCTTCGGTCACCGCTGACCGAAAACGCGCGGGAACAAGTCGGATGGTAGTTTAAGAAGCCTTCGCTTTTGTTTCAGTTTGTTTGTTATTCGTTATTTGACAATTCATTTTATTGTTGGCTCCTGTCTAGGTGCTTTATTCTGTGGTGCCAGGGTCAGCAGTGTACAACGCCAAAGGTAACGTATTAAATTCAAATTTCCGTGATGTCGTCGCAATTTTACCAGTACATAGACATACAGCAGTCTTTGTTTCTTTGTTTGTTTGTTTATTTGTTTGTATTTTATTCCTCATCAAAAGTGAGTGATACTTTCAATTTTCATTTCGCTACTGAGTACATGGCAAAATCTGTGACTCAAACAAGACTTTCCACTTCACACCAGTAGCATATGAGAATCTTTTGTCATTTTTGGTGTTACGCTCTCCCTCCTCTCCCCTTCCCCTCTCCGGCCGAGAGCCTCGCGAAAAAAAGCCTTAACGATATTGTACTGTGTTTGTTCATAGGGAGGGGATTCTCTGGCGGAATTTACCCCAATGAAGTCATCACAGGAAAGTGGTCAAGGGAACCCAGAAAGATGTCTCACCTATGACGATTGAGCGCAGCCTGAAATCTAGGACTTTTAATATGATAAACAACAGCCAAGACAATTTTAATGCATGAGTTGGGTTGGGAACGTACGTGTCACCAGATCTTTTTAAAAAGATGATTATTTTTAAAATGTTGAAGAATCGACTTCAAATTCTCATGTTTAACGATGTTGTAAATTCAAATCCAATTCACCACTTAAGAAACGAGAAGAGATCTGGGGCGAGTCTCATCTCGCAGTGGCTTGTGGGATCGTAACCGTTGCTAATATGGCTTCTCGTCTTTTGTGCTGTCCCAATAACGGTCCCACAAGCCACAACCAGATTTCTTTGTTTCTAAAGTGGCAAATGTACCCAATATAAAAGACCTTCTTAAGGTATTTTAATCAGTGGTTTTAAATTTACAACCTAGTTTCTAGTAACAAGGCATTTAGTGAATCAAGTAAACTTCACTTCACTGTGTTACATTGAGTCACGTGACTCTAAGTTTCAAGCCCGCAATGTTTGCAGGGAAGTGGTTTAGGAATGGTGGGAGTATTTTTAATGTCCAACAGCAATTGAATATTAAATTTCACTTAATATATTTTAACACAAACCAAACGTTTGTTAGTGATAAGACACGGACATAAATTGTTTTAGTTTTGTAAAATCACTGGTATATTTTTTACTCAAATTGAGTACAATAAATATACTTTCATTTTAGGAGG